TACCGGGCGAGAAACTCAAAAGTAACGCAATAGTTACTTTTACTAGTAACTTTTATTGTGGAGTAAGTCAGTAACTCAGTTACTTTTTGGGAGAAGTAACTAGAAACTATAACTAAATACTTTTTCAAAGGAACGTGCCCAACACTGACCTTAAGTCAATGGTGACTCAAGGTCAGGACTCCAACGTGAAAGGTTGGAAACATTATTTGGGTGTTTCCTCTAGATCAGGGGTCTTTAACGTTTTCTAGGCCCAAACTGATGGCAAGATGGAGCGGGGACCCGCTAGTTATATATATTGTATTGTGTTATATTAAACTAGTCCTATAGTTACTCTATTACAGATGGAGTAATGTAACAAAAGTAATTTTGCACTGGGATTATTAAAGTATTTCTGATTCCTGGTTGATGGGACAGGTGTTGTGAATGAAACGGTGTCCAGCTTGAAAGAGTTGCTGTGTGTCGCTGAATGTGTGCATTGATGACTGAAAGACATCTTCTGCCTCTATTTATCTGTTTACTGCAGTGTGATGAATTCATGTTAATGTGGATTTAAAGATATTTCAATTAGTGGAAAGAATTTCAGGGGGGAATTTTAAAAAAAAGTCTATCAACCAAAATTTTTGTACCTCCATGGACACCCTAGGGGTCATAGACCTCTGGTCTAGATGATCATCAGGACTGGTTTTAGAAAGCATAAAAATGTTAATTTATGGAAATTCTTGGGCTTAAATATACAGAAAATAAATCTAAATGTTGGTTTAGTGGCAGAAAGGAGAATTCTGCATAAAGAGGTCAAATATCCAGACAGATTGATGACAGGAGATGATGGACGGCCACAAACATGGTCGAGATTAATTGAATTAGCTGTAAGTAGCTTGGTGTGTCTTTAATTAGTGAACTCCAGCATAGATGAAAGCATTTAGACCTTATTATTGTTTTAAACTAAATGATTGAATCAAATGGTGTGGCTTAATATGCCTTAAGTCACATCAGAAAACCCAGAGTTGGCATTATCCTGCCGCATTATCTCAGGGGTGGCGTTGCAATGCGATGAACCCTGTTCTCCAAAGCTCCTGCCTTGTTGCTTCACCCTGGGTGGGATCAACCTCGACGTCTGATGCTCTTTGTCTCCTTCTGGCTGCAGGCTGAGAAACCAGGCCCGCCTCACGTCAGCTCCGTGACATCAAAGCGACCGTGACACAGCGGCAAACCGCCGATGACTGATGCCTTTTTGTCTTCCTCAGTCAGGACGCATCGCCCGGCCCGCGGACGGCTCTAATCGCATCGACAGGTGACACGTATGTGGGAACCAGAAGATGATGGGGGAGACGAGTCGGATCGTGTGACCTGCGCCTCACATGCCTCCTCCGTGCGCCGTGAGTGTGTGAGGAGTTTCGCTGTGACAACAGATGACATTTAGGAAACAATCTGAGGGGAATCTTGTTAACAAGATTCTGAGGTGACGTGTTTTAAAAAGCCTTTTCACTCCTCCTCTATAAATATCTGTTCCTCCTCTTTAAGTTCGCTTTTCTCTGGAAAACAGCCTCCAACATCTGTTCCTGGTGTCCTTAAAGGCCTCATGGGTCTCTGCTAATCATCCATCATCAGCGCCAAACCAAATAAATATGTTACATTATGTCGCTAAACGTATCGAGCATCAACAGCACACATAAATAAAAATTTAAGTTTCTTATTTATGACTTTTAGAAATGGGGCCATTAAAGTTTGGATACAAAGAGCCGCTTCTGATTTAAAATATCAACAAATCTATTATTAAATCCATCATCCAGACGTCAAAATTTGAAAAATGTCGCATCAGAAATGTCTCATAATAACAATTCTTTTTTTTTGGATGAAGTAATAAAATGTTAACCTTGATTTTAGACATTCAGCTGAGAGGATTTCAACATGACTGATGTCGCATGGAATGACCGAAACGATCGGATAAAAGCTGAGACAAACGCTACATTTATAGATGAGCGTTAAAATTTAATATATGAAACTTGGCACAACTCAGCTGGTTTGGTTTGATGAAGAATCATTGATCCTCTATGGAAATAACCATCAATTAAAAACAGCTTTATTAATATGTATAGCAAGGAATGTGATAATTTATGCATCCCATGATAGCTCAGGCTTTAGCTTTGGTTTTTATACTTTAGCAGATTTAATGCAAAAACAATGTGTTTTATTTTGGTTCTTCATTTCATTTATGGATGGATTTTGACTTAATGAGGGTTTTAAGGGTGTCATAATAATAATAATTGAACTTTATTGATCTCACGTGGGAGAAATTTACCTCTGCATTTAACCCATCCCCTTGGGGAGCAGAGGGCAGCCATTGTGCGGCGCCAAGGGAGCAGTGTGGGGTTAAGGGTCTTTGTTCAGGGACCCACAGCTTTAGAAAAGTAAACATAAAATATGTTGTTAAATTTAAAACTTTGCTACACAGGGAAACAAAAATCAACATCTAGATAAGTCATTTTTTCTTAAAATAATTTCATTTGTTCTTGGAGTAAGGAGGTAAAAGTGACATTTTGCCAATGGAACAAGATAATTTAAATTTAAAATGAGAAAACACAATTCCATTGTCTTATTTCAAGTGCATTTAATCTAAATATCTTATTTTACAAGTAAAAATACTCATTCCATTGGCGAAATCGTCTCATTTACCTACTCAAATTAAGGGTAAGTACACTTAATTTGAAAAAAAATTATATATTTTTAGATTGTTTTTCCAGTGTAAATGGCTTTCAAGAACCTTTTTTAGATTTAATGAAATTATGAAAAACTCAGATCAGAGGAGAGTGGACATTTGGGAAAAAGAGGAAGACTTGCTTTCATTCCCTCTAGAAGCTTCCCTCCCAGTTTGGTTTGCAGGAAGCTGAATTGTATCTGGTTACAATTGCTTTGTTAGACCTTTCAGGGTTTTAACCTTTTTACTTTTTATTTATATATTTATTTGAGTTTTTTCGGCACTAGTGGCTTGTTTTTTCTACAGTAGGCTGATAGGAAAGAGGGTATGAGAGACATGCGTCAAAATACTACAGGTCGGATTCAAACCCGGGTTGGCTGCGTCGAGGGCTAAGGCCTCCATACATGGGTTATGCGTGCTAACCACTGCGCTAATTTTATGCCCACCTTTCTACTTTTGATTTAAAATCACATCTGTATTGTTTTCCCCTCAGCACATTTATACATCCAAATGATC